AATTTAATTCGGAGGGAGGTGAGGGGAAAAAGGGGGGGAAGGGAGGGAGAGAAGGGAGCAGTTCAACTCTACTTAGGCCCACTCTGCTGGTCAGTCACTCACAAGAGAGCGCTTACCTTCGGCCTCTTATTTGTCCAGGTGCTTTTTTCGACAGTCGAACTGGAGAAAATCAGGCAGAAGATGAACCAAATGAAACTTTTTTTTTTTTTAATGACGAGGATAGAAGACCATCAAGGGCCAAGAGAAAGTGTTGTTCCCAGTTTTTGTTTCCTTCTTTTTTCCTTTTTTTTTTTTTTTTTCGCCTTTTTTCTCCTTTTTTCTCCTTTTTCTCCTTTTTTCTCCTTTTTTCCCCCCTTTCTGAAGTCTATTTTTCCTTTTTTTTCTAAGGCTACCAGAGTGGCCCGGGACCACTCGCCCGACCGGGACAAAAATAATTTAAAAAAAAAAAAAAAAATTGTTATTTTATTTTATTTTTTATTTTAAATCCGTAAGGAATTTCGATGCGACCCTGAGGCAAAGTTGTTCAGTTTATTTTTCTGCATAACACGATTGTTTTTCATAATTTTCGGATTCCTTAAAAAAAAAATCGGATTCCCTTTCATCTATCCGTTCTAGACTTCTACGACTGGAATAGAGCCCAGAAACACACAATGGGACTTTTTCTTCTTTATCGCTTTCTCTTTGTTTCTTTTTTCTTGCTGTCTTCGCTTTTGTTCTTATATTATTTTGATTTTTATTCTATTTTTAGTGTTATTGTTTGTTTATTTAATTATTAGTAAATTCATATATTATTTTATTATAAATTTAAGTTCACACTATTTAAGGAAGGGGAAAAAAAAGACTTACACCTATTTATGAGATGTTACTGTCGGTACTGCGATTTGTTTGATAACTTTGATTGTTTTTTTAACTTTTTCCCTTTCTCGTCATTGTTGTTATTACTCAATGGTTAATAGTTCATTTTACATCTTTTCTTTCTTTTTTTCGATGTTATGCAGCTTATGCTGTTGAAATTCTTGACGTCTAGAATTTGTATTCTTTTTTTTTCGTCTTTTCCTTCCTCGTTATTCTTTTTTTTTTTTGCTTTTGAACTTTCATGGCTATTTTTTGACTTGACCCCCTCCTAAATATTAATTACGAATTTTGGGACAATACTATTCGAACAAGGGTACCTGTTGCAGCTACGCTCGTAAAAACAAATATGGCAGGTAATGCATTGACGATGGATGCAAGTGACTGATACCCTCTCTCTCTCTCTCTCTCTCTCTCTCTCTCTCTCTCTCTCTCTCTCTCTCTCTC